TATCTCTAAAAGGTATTCCCACTGGGAAGGTGTAGGGTAAACTTGAACAGCTTTTGGAAAAGTTTGTGTTTCAAAAAATAATACTCCATCCATGCAAAATTGGGCCACCTTCCGGGCAGTAGGGATGTTGATAAGGACCTACAATATGCTACTGTAGTGTACGGACTGCCCAACTCGGAGGCCCTGTTTTTCAGAAACTACTCGTGGAAAAACATTGGGCCCCACATTTTTATTGTACGTGTTGTGATGAGCACTCCAATTTGATATGAAAATGTTAAAATAACATATTGGGATTAATTTATACTGAGTGACAAAAAAACCTAAACACCTACGTATGTTTATCCGATTTTACTAATTTTTGGCATATATGTTCAGTGTCCCTTACTAGTAAAATGATTAAATTTTCAGCTTGATTCGTCAAATGGCTGCATAAGCTGGTTCATTGATGTGTTGAGGATCCACGATTTCTTATACACTCATTGTCACGCCTGGGCCTCGTGCTGATAAGGTGGTCGACATCCTGTTGGGGTATCTCATGCTAGACTAGTGCAACTTCGCGAGTAAAAGCTGCTAAAGTATGTGGAGGGTGTTGCAAATTCAAGAGCCTGCGACCTATCATGTCCCAGACATGTTCAGTTGGAGATAGGTGGTGGCCAAGGTAAACGGTTGATGCGATGTTGATCCTTGAAGGCTAACCATCCTCAAGCAACATGCGGTCTGGCATTGTATTGCTCTAAAATCGGGTTTTTTATGGTGTTCAGGTATGGAATAAGATGAAGCTCCACTACCTGAATATAGCGTCGGCCTGTCATATTGCCTCTGATGAAAATTAGTGGTGATCTGCTACCATAAGCAGTAGCACCCCAATTTTGGATGTCTTCTGTATATGTAATAAGAACATATTTATTTGGTGAGGTTCAAATTTGGCCGACGTCGTAATGTGTACGAGAGAGTCAAGCGTACAATATGTATATTAGAAAGAGTGCGCCGATGGTCTCCGTGGCCTCAAAGCTCGAGTTGCTAGGCAACGAGTTGCTTCTATCTCCTTCTAACACAGGTATTACATGCTTCTGACGCTTGTGTCTCGTACATATTACGACGATAGTGGTATTTGGTTTTTAGTGTATATTGTCAGTTGACGATCCCACTTGCCACACGTTTATGTCACTTACTACATAACTGACCAACATTGGCGCTCTAATACTGTTGTCAATATGACAACTGTGGATGTGATTTTTTTTAATCTGTCATAAGTTAGTTGATAAATCTGGTACCAATTACCAGCAAGTATAGGATTTCAAATATGCAAGTTTTCACCAATAACATTTGTCAGACTGCTGGTAGTGTCCGGGTTACTCGCACATTCAGCATACTTGAACAACGGGAAATAATAATTACCGATCTTACCGACAAAAAACTGCGATAGTGGCCAAATGGCTAGAGAAATCTCTAGATAGTCTGGAATCTAAATCTATCAAAAAACAATGCATCCCAATTTATAGGTGTGCCTGTGGTCAGAATTAGTCACAGGTGTTTGCTAACAATAGTGAATATTGAAATCAGATTAGTCTAAGAAATAACGTATAGAAACATTTTTGAGGGAAATTGAATGCGGACAAATTATTTGGTAAATATGTTTGATACGGGTTACTGCACGAGAATATGGACTGTACCAAGAAAAATTTTCAGCTTTATTTTTTTATGTACGAAATATGGGATTAGCAATGATAGTTTTATTTTTTCCATCGCTAAGGGAATGGACGTCGGTTTCTTTTTTTACCCCTAAAATACCTACCGATTAAATTTGCAACACCAACATCGGGCATTGAATCTTCAAGTTATTGCAATAAAACCGCTAAAAATCAGACAATTTACTACTATATCTTGCTAACACATTCCCACGAAACTGACGCCTAACTCTGTGATAAATATGTTATAAACGCACAACAAATTATAAATGAAAATACAAGGTTTTTTCTTTTTATTGCATTTGTTTAAACAAATCATTTTTTGTCAAAATCTATTGTGTAGTTCAGGGAGGTTCTATGGTTCTTGGGCTGGTGCTTATTTTGGAGAGATGTTGTAGTTTAATAATAATGAAACAGACTCATCTTACTGCCATTCAGGAAAATAATGAAAATGATTTCTAAATTTAAATTGGTAAAAATGTACAACGCAGTGAAAATAAATGCCATGATAGATTGAACTATTATTTCTACAATTACTACAGTTCAATGACGGCATTTCACAGCCTACTTGAATAAAGGTTAGCTCTCCAGGTGCAGGGGGGGGGGGGCGGTGGTGATGATTTTAAATATTCAACAAATCGCCAATGGTTAATTATAAACACTGAAAACCAAATACCACTGTACGAGAGAGAAACGTGCAATACGAATGTAAGAGATGAAAACACCTCGTTGCCTAGCAATGCGAGTACGAGGTCACGGATGCCATCGGCGCACTTTTTCACAGATTGCACGCTTCTCTCTCGTACACATTACGACGTCAACTATATTTGAACTCACTGAATATTAAAGCGTACGAGCCCCTTCCCAATTCAGTTGGCCCACTTCAAGATTTCTATCCAAATATGCCTAAAACTAAACATGACGAAACTATTTACTTCTAAAACAATTTATTTTCTCAAAAACATTTTAGATATACTCTAGTCGTAAAAAATACATACATATTTGAAATCACTTAGACCTATAACTAATAGGACATCTGAACAAATAAACAATGTGCGAATAAATGCGCGAAGTTAACAAAGCAACAATTAAAAGATTACCATTGGGTAACATCACCTTTATTTTTTATTACGGCTGAAATTCTTTGGGGCATAGTGTTAACCAAGTTTTGGCAAAAATTTGGTGCAAAACAATCTCATATTTCTTGAAGCTTTTGTCTCAGTTCGGTGATTGTACGAGCAGGATGTTGTCGTACAACCTTTTTCATCTCGTGCCACAAACTTTCAATAGGTGACAGATCTGGACTGCTAGAAACCCATTTCAAAAGTGGTACATAATCTTCTTCCATCCATTTTGTAGCCTTTTTTGGGGTATGGCACTCTGCACCATCTTGCTGAAACACAAAATCTTGGCCGGATGTCAAACATTCTTCCATCACTGGTTAAAGCGATTCTTCTAAAATTACCAAATATTTGTTTGTATCCACATTTCTATCAATAAAATGAAGTTTTCCTACTCCTTTTGATGCCCCAGACCATAATGGATGCTGGAAATTTCACTTTTCTCTTAAGACAGTCAACATGGAATGCTTCATTTTTTTGCGAATAACTCTACTGCGACTGTCACCCACACAAATTTCGAATCGGGCCTCATCACTCCATTGTATTGCACACCATTGTTGAGGTGTACATTGTATATGTTCTTTAGCCCATCTAAGCCGATTTTTCTTTTGCAGTGGAGTTAATAGTAGCTTTTCTTTGGCCTATAAACAAGTTGTGCAACTTTAGGGTTTTTACTTCACTTTTTTTTATAAGAAAACTTACCTTGCAAGTACTAAATCCCAGTTTGTGGGCCTCTCTATGAGTTGTTAACCTCGAAATTCTTCTTCCAACAGCGTCACTCCACAGAGTACTTAATTGTAAATAATTGGCACGCCTGTTTTTCACGCTTATTCTTCTTAATGCTCTTCGGTCAGCATTTGTGATATTACTTTTTTTCACATATCGTGGCTTAATATTAACTGAAACAGTTACGTTATATCTTCTAACAATACTTCACACACTGTACCGCGATAAGTCTAACAAAGTTGCAATTTCTGAGTTTGATTTCACAGAATTAAAATGTTTAATTATCAGTAACCGAATTTTCTCACTAATAACCTTTCCCCTACCCATTTTGAAAACCTTAACTACCCAAAACTATTTTAAACGTATTCTGACAGCTGTGATTAATAAAAACAATTGTCATGGCTTTTATTTTTCACAGCCACCTATGCGTTATAAACTTATTTTGCATTGAAATGAAAATAGATTGATATGCTGTAATTGCAACATGTGTTATTTTTATGCTGCAAATTTGATTAGGGAGTGATAAAGTTGGTATTTTCTACTATATATTATCAAAATATTCATTGTTAATATTTTAAAAGTATAACACCCTGCTACATTTTTATTATTTGTGTTTGATAAGAAAAAAACTAAGATTTCAATAGTTGGGCCAACTGAAGTGGGAAGGGGCTCGTAGATACGATATGCTCAGGCGTTCAAATAAATGATCATTGTTTTTATTCCAATATTCAACTATTAAGTGTAGTTGCAAAAATTGGTCTTCTGTCTAAGTATAATGTATGTTCATTGAGAGCTACACTGTTTGCCAGAAGCTTGGCAGCAGCGTTTTGCAGATTTACTGATAAGTACAGCCGTAAGCATGAAATTCGTGGATATGTTCTTGTACGAAAATTTTTCAGCGAATGTTGTGCCGAGTTACCACAGAAGAAAATTATTTCGGGAAGCTCGTTAAATACGCTCGTGTATTGTCACAGATGAATTTATTAATTTCCATATAACATTGGGAGTAGGGACATTATAGATGAAATCAATAATCGGGCAGTCTCATGATAGCCTAAAGCTGGTGACAAAAAACAAAGTGACAACTTTGAAGCAGCGAGTGCCCCCGTTAGCGGTTAATTTTTCACTAACCACTATTGAAAGTGAGAATAAATCTTGTATGCTACGGCTTTGCAATTTAAGCACTTTGTTTGATGACGTTGGATTGAGGAAAATAAATAAAATATGGTATCATTGCACGCCACTTTACAAATGCAGATTGAAACTATAATATACACCATCATTATGGTATTTGGCAAGTTTTTACATTTGCAAGAGGAAGGTAAAGGCAATGGTTTTAACACCTCTAAAAAGTGTAACATCGAAACTCATTCTATGAAATTATACATATATACGTGATTGAATAAAATGTGCATGTCATCTTTTCGTAGAAGGTGTCAGTCTTATTAGGTTGAAATGAAACACATTCAGCGATTAATTATTTTTTTCTATTATACATACATATACAATTTTCATAGCCCACAAAGAATTTCGATTAAAAATTTCAAGCATCGCATTGTTCAGAATTTCTTTAATATCCCAATTTTTAACGGAAATCCTGTGAAGGTCTATGCCTAGAGACAAAAGGTTTCAAGCAACAATCTAAATGTTCATTGTATTTTTCTTAATAAAATTCTCTGCATTTCCGTTTCCTTTTAACTTTAGTATAAGGCATTCATCGTTCCCCTATCAGTCCTAATAAAATTGAAAACAAAATAAATAACTAGCTCTTGATTTTAGCCATAAAATTGTCGAAGAGATGAAATACAAAACTAATAATAAAAAAGCTAATTAATTATACGTATAAGTCAGATCGAAACAGGACAGTATAAAACACAATGAAAAAACACACTTTGAAAATCTGTTCATACTCAGTAATCTATATTGCATAGGTACTTGATGTAATTTAAAATCATCTCCACATTATGTTTTCAATATTTCCTTCATATTTTCTAACATAAGTGTTTGGTAAAATTATCGAGAATATAACGTATTGTTGTCATTCACCTCTTCAACATTTAACATCGAGGGAACCATGTTAACGTTGTAAAAATATAAATACGTTACATCACACAAAATTAAACAAAAATAGTATTTACATTTCACCTACATCTAAATTGGTTGAGTGTCTTGGAATTACCTGCAAATATATTCTTTAAGTTTGTACACGCAACTTCAAGACACACTAAATGTATAACTACAAAATATAAAATTATATGAGACAACTTCTAAAGATTTATCGGAATTTTGTTTATTGAACAGGGAATCGTTATTAGGATTTGTAGTGCAGTACAGAAGAGAGTTCTTCAATAATACAAATGGGAACCGCTCTCAACTCGATTCACTATAGATATAATGAAAAAACTTATCATCATTCAAATATCGTGTAACTAGTAATTGAAGGCAGTATGAAGAAATAAGACAAATGAGGTCAGTTCGCTCTTTGGAAAATTTTGTTTACAGTTACTACAGAAGGTATATAAATACTACTTCAGTTCTGTACGACACTACTGTCCACAGGACTATCAAATAATTTGAAGATCGAAAGCATAAGGACAAAAATACTGACCAATCTTAATCCGTAATCCATATAAAAATATTATGTATAAAATATTACAGGTAACTTACTGAATTAAGTTTTGTAGTGCCGATTCAACAGCTGTCAAACTTAAACAAATATTACATTATGGCATCTTAAGATTGTCCGATGAATATAGAATATTTTAAATGGGTGTTCAAAAATATGCGGAAGCGCAAGTTAAGTTGGTGGGGTAAGTATTTTCATTTTGCGAAAGATATAAAAAACATTGTGAAATTAAATTATTAAGCTGTTTTCTGGAGTATCAGGGGTTCTTCGACAACATTGTAACTACAAATTGAAAACACACATGAGGGACATTCTTTAAATCATCATTTTTGTTTTTTGTTTTTCCATTAATTCTTTTGTAATTTGCATAACAGAACTTGAAAATGTGAGATATTTAATATGTATATCGAAATAATAGACTGTATTTAATGAAATTAATTATTTTTGGATTTGATAGATATCTTGCATATTTTGTCGAATGTTAATTAGCAGCTGTCATATACTTCTAAGTCCACCAACTCACACATTTTTGAATCGAACATATTGATAAAGATATAGTAAGAGTGCATCGCTAGTTGCTATACCAAAACACTGATATGAAATATGATTACTTCTTGCCAAACGGTTTAGGTATCGAACTAATATCATAGTGATTTCTTTTAACAGTAATTTGTACATTGTTTCAAGGATATAGTTATGTAGGTAGAGGTTACAAGCAGTACAAAAAGCGTAAATTATACAATCTGTTGAAATTACCTGTCATAGTTGTTCTTAATATTTATTGAACATCTTCATTGCGATTACCGTAAATGAAATGAGATGAAGCAATAGTACGTGCGCATATTTAAGAAAAATAATTGAGAAAACCATATTTCGTTATAAGGTCTATCGGGTATTCAAACTATAGCACCAAATATCAAATAAATTTGAAAAATATAGAATTACGTTAAATTGTTAGCAACGTTTCTTCATTCAGCACAGCTATACTTAGTGGCTAATATGAGTGAGATGTATCAGAGAGCCTTTAGCTCCATTGTCTCGCCGCTAATTGAAACCACATATCTTTCAATTAGTGTCTATTGTACGGTGTTTCGGCCACCACGATGGCCTTTTTCAAGTAGAATGACAAAAGTATTTTGTTTCTTTATCTTCCAGGTGAAAATTCATTTATTGGTTCTTTCCTATAAAGTGATTTGCGACTATAGGTATATTGAACGGTCCTGTAGCATGCCGAGATCGCTTTATTTATATATATATATATTATTTATACACCAAAGTCTCAAGATTACGTTGATTTTACGCAAAATCAATCAAACCTAATGCGGTCCTGGACCTTGATCAGGTCAAATGTAAACCCGTACTATGCACATCAGTACTCAATCGAGGCACTGGCGCTGGCCGTGTTGCTAAACCCTCAGATATAGGTTCAAAAAAGGAAACAAAAATGGAACACTCATACAGCAATATCGGAGTTGTCCATATTATTTTAATTCACGGCGAGTGTCTTCGAAATGCTACTGAAGCTTCGCGAGTGCATGCAGAACGTTTTTAAAGATCCTTCGTGATTTCTTTTTTGTTTGGGGTCAAATGAAATGTTTAGTGTATAAAACTAAGGTGAACACGGTTAAGCCCTTACATATTCCTCTCAACCTACCCGAGACAGCTATCATTTATTTTTTTGATTTTTTGCTTCACCACACATTAGCTTTGATATTTCAAACGAAGGTGCTTCTGGAAAGGAAAGACCCAACTTTCAGGACACTGTATAATGTTTGAATTAGCGGTCAGACAATGGAGTCCTATCAACATAAAAAGCACATGATAAGTTTCAAGTGTTACATTATATTAGATAGTTTCATGTAAATATTATCAAACATAGGAAGACATAACTCAGTACATCGTGTATAAAGATCTACATTTTTGGCAACATTGGTACATTTGGCTTTGAAAATAATAAGCTCTGTTTCCTGTATGTATTGGCACGCAGGGTCTAGTAATGTAAGTTTTATTAATAAGGTGCTAGTTTGACTGTTGTCACATTCACATTCACATGTGTACTCCCACTAGTGTCTGCATGGTGGCCCCTCCTTTGCCCAAGTATAAAAAATAATAGCAGACAAACATCTGTATCGTCAGTATTATTTGATTTAATATTATCTTTTTTAAAGTACTGCAATAGCAACTTAAATACTGAAGGAAACAATATTATTTTTACTTCATTCTTGTTTGATGTATAGTAGGATACCAGAAAGACCATAACCATGTATTTGAGACATTTTCCTGGGTTACTAGGATGTTAGAAAAACGGTCAAATGTTCCAATTCAATTTTTGCAGTGCATCCATTAGACTTTGTAGGAGGCCCGCAATTTTGCACCTATCTGACGATATCACAGAACAACATAGACTAACGACCAAAAACCTCTCTTTACACAAAAAAAATCATAGTTGTTTCCTCGACCTCAAAATTCTTTTTGATATTTGAAATATCCGTTATCGAAAACTTGTGAATATGTCAAGATCACGTGATGCCTTTAATCGTTCATTTACATCATCCATCAAATTATATGAAAATCATCAAAGTATGGATAGTATAAGAATAAAGAAAAATATAAAGATGTAATGCCACTATGTTCCAATAAACAATTCCGAATTAGTCAGAACGAGTTCAGGATTATTTTCTGCGGTAAGTATAGTTTAGAACTAATTCAGAACTGTTCTGTTAAGATGGAGGACTGCATGACCTGTTGTCGTTAACATAACCTTAATTTAAAATTATCATACTTTCAGTCTTCTGGAAGTTAGAGAATTTATTGTATTTTGAATGAAAAACGTTACATTCATTAGAATCATCAACATTTGCCTATGTACTTTTTATTTCTTGTTCTTGAGACTCCTATAATTAACTCCATATATTCATTTTTACTTGAATTTGTCCAAAATTAGTTTTCGTCGACGCTGATTCTTGACTATTGTATGACAAACCGTAAAATATATTATGAAGAGCTGATCGATACTATCTATTCTGTATATTCCCATCTACTAACTTAGAACTAGAGCTGTTAGAACCATTTAGATACAGCCAATGTGTGTTGGTACAGAGAACTACTAGTTCCATAATCAGTTGTAACTTTTGCTGGGACAGAGATTTCGATCTGTGCATGCTCTTTTTAGAATAAACCATGTATCTTTACATTGCGAATATACCGCTAATAACGTCTTTCAAACTGAGGTTTCTTGGCCGTTAGTACCTGACGCTCCCGCGACTTCCATCAGCGAACTATATATCAGTACTATGTACAGAGGACGAAAAATAGGTTCTGACATCATAATTTAACTTATTTCTAAGACAAATGAAATACTTTGGTATTTTGTTGTGTAGAAGCTACCCATCAGTGCAATTGGAAGAGTCGACATCAATAATTTTGATTCGTTTCAAGATTCTTTCACTGCATTCGGAAGAGAAAGAGTAGGGATATACTAAACAGAATCGCAGATATCCTCGAAATTTCAGAGCCGCTCTGGGAAGCTGAAAAATAAAGAAAAATCGTTATAAAGTTACGTCCATGTCCTTTGGATTAAGGAATTTAAGACAAGTGTCAAAAACTCTGTAACATTTTGTTTATTGAGCGTACAGCGTATGTTCTCTTTCAATGATTAACAACTCACGTATTGCAACCAAAGTTTTTCTATACGTTAAAAAAATGTTCCTGATACTTTTTTCGAGGTGAAGAAACCTTTTATGATTTATTAATAATTCGTAATTTTATAGGCGTCTTATGGACATGTTCACAAGATTTGGTCTGTAATTGTTTTTCAAAAGTGATGCCCAAAAATTTTAGGTGTCTCATTATATTTTCACTAAGAATATCAAATCATACATTTTTGTCTTTCGGTCTGTCTATCTCTGTGTCTGACTGTTTATCTGTATTTCTTGCATTCGCACCAATTTTGGTAAAGGTTGGAAATCTATATACATGACGTCGTGATATGATTTAGAAAACTCGTTTTTTCTTTATAGTTAAACGCTGCATGGTATGTATACTTACTTCAACAGTGGTTAAGCGCTACTTTACGAAGAAAAGTAGAATAAAGGTTTCGATATGAAGACTAATACTACAGATATACCTTTGATGTACAGTTTTGTACAAAAAATAGCTAATTTTTATAAGATACTATCGATATTAAAAAGATACCATGACAGATACCATCTGAAAGCATTGACGTCTGGTTACCATTAGTATGTGTTGCATTACTGTATAAATCTGTGCATCTAGATAATTTTCTATGATGTATTTTTGAATGTCGTCTACAATTAGAATCAGGTTGGACGTCATACCTTTGATGTAAAGTTTTGTACAAAAAATAGCTAATTTTTATTAGATACTATCGATATTAAAAAGATACCATGACAGATACCATCTGAAAGCATTGACGTCTGGTTACCATTAGCATGTGTTGCATTACTGTATAAATCTGTGCATCTAGATAATTTTCTATGATGTATTTTTGAATGTGGTCTACAATTAGAATCAGGTTGGACGTCATGCAAATGTATGAATATATACAGGGTGTAACAAAAGTAACGGAACGGTTCAGCATTTCTCCGTGCAACGTATTTTTGGAAAAGGTCATGCTCAGGTCTATACCAACTTTGAACAAAAAATTTAATGATGTCCTTGGATTTGACCTTGAGCCTCACCTTCAACCTCATAATAGTGCATGAGAACGTATTAGAAAGTAAGATTTGCGGTTGACGTTTAGTTGCACTTTAAATTACTTTGAAGATGAGGTTCAAGTTTGAATCCAAGATCACAATCGAAATCCTCGTTAAGATCTTAATTTTTTTTATCAACAGTCCTGTTAAACTTCTGGGTTATTTTTCGTAGCTTCACATACTTGACCCTCAAACGGAAGTAGAAGTATCTGTTCTTTCCATTGCCGGTGTCAGAAAGGCGGCTTTCCATTCAAAAAACAAAAGTTAACAATGAAATTAACTTTGAGGAGGCGAGGCTCAAGCTCAAATCAAAGATCTTCATTGAACTGCTTATTCAAAGCTAGTATACAGGGTGTTAATAAAGTATGTAAATATTTCTATGAATAATGAAACGAATTTATTGAACAGTTGGTATAAGTTATGATAAATTTTGCATGTTTTACAAGTTGCTGAGGCTCGATATGGACGTGGATGAAAATAGTATTATCCTGTATTTTTGGAAAAAAAAATTATTTAGAAGGTCAATAGTTTTGAACAGTAACATTCGAATAGAACGTCTACAATAGAAAATATCGAATATTTTGTTTTACAATAAATGTTCAAAGTGACCACGAATTATTTGAGAAAATAAATTAATTCAATTGTTTTCGGGTACGTCATAGGTGTCTAGATAAGCACAATGCTCAAATATTAAAAGTATTGCAATAAAAAAATCAATGTCATGCTATTTTTTCAAAAAATACTGGATAAGATTATCCGTATCTACTACATGGAGGGTCGGTTTGAAAACAACTGTAAATCTTGTGATATTTACCACAGGGCATACTTAATTAAAATATCATCATTTCTGTTAGTGCTAATATGCTTTAGCTTGAAAACAAAGCCTTTGCAGACCCATGTTCATATGGAAATTTCGTCTTCAAATTGACCAAGTATACGATGGTTGAAGTTTGTCTATATATTTTATTAATACCCTGTATATCGGACTGATCTTTTTTAAAAATACCTTGCTTTGAAAAAGACAAAGCCATTCATGTATTTTTGTTACAGCTAGTAGAATAAAAAAGAAATGAAAAAGGATGAATACCTCCCATAGGTGGTGAGCTTTGTTCAAATTCTTGTTGCTGTGCTGGAGTGCCTTGTGCTGGAGGAAGTTGTTTTTCTATGTAAAACAAAGGTTAAAACGAAAATGAGGATGAGTAAATTAATAAAATGTGTGTGTGTATTAAATAAATGAAAGTAAGAATACATGCATCAGAAACAATATTACCAACAGTAGTGGTGTATACAGAAAAAGAAAGAAACTAAAGGACGTCACATATAACAGGCGATGAAAATACATACGATCAGAATTATGAGATTGGGATTTATGTTCGATGAAATGTATTGATATTATTTTACTACTACTACTGTTAATAACATGGTCCAAGGTATTTTCCATTGTTGAGAAGGTATTATAAAACAGGAGACATTTTTTATATGATGCTCTGAAGCAATTGCAGTCTACATTTTATCTAAACGCACCATCATTCAATATTTTTGGAGCAGGGTAGATTCAGTTTTCATTTCTAAAGAAATGCTAAATAACGATCAAAGAACAAACAGCTAATACCTTCTCATGAATGTTTCTTCTTTGTTAAAAATTAAGAAAAATAAAACAAAATAAAAATGCATTCTGTACCTCTCAGATCTTTTTGATCTTTCTCTTTGTGATGATGTTTTTTGTGAGATTTGTGAGTGGAGCCATGTTTAGCCAACACTGCGTGGAGAAAACAAAACAAAACATAAATTAATATACAAGCCAACTACGTGATTGTGATAGAGTTTATTTAGAATTCTAGCAAAGAGCTACAGCAAATCAGAGGAAAATTTCACTCAAAATGTCAGCATATCCTTCCTTGAGCTACTCATATCCATTAAATAAATGTCGTTTTTTGTTATTTTTTTAGTTTAAAGGAGTTGATGCTCAACTCATGGGTATGACGTAGAGATACATTCCAAGTTTTTAACGACTTTTGCAATTTTTTGAACTATACCTCCCATATCTTTTCTCTTAATTTGTCAAGTAGCTAGTCCTGTCTATCAGACCAGAACAATCGAAAAGTGCTTGATGCGTTCAACCCGATTTTCTGTAGTCAGTCAAGCTACATTTCATAGTTCTGCTTTAGAGCTAGAGTCTTGAGAGCTTCAGCTTCGTTGAAACCTATTCTGTCACCGTATTTTAATGTTCATTTGACACCAATCGGGAGTCATTATGCAATAACAATTCACTTTTTACATTTCGGCACTTTAATTTATATAATATTATCAAAACTACTGAGATATAGCGGAAGGACATGCTTATGCGAGTTACAACACTCAACAAAACAATGTTTAATCAAACAAAGCGTTTTAGGGGCACATAAATCGACTTAAACTTCCTAAGGATCCTCACCTCCTTCGAAAGGCATGACTTGAGAGTAATCTGACCAACCATGCTCATTCTTTGAACGTAGCCTAGTCTCATAGTTTCCTGCATCTAGTCCTTTAAGTGTATATTTTACCACGTACTTCTGTTCACCTTCTTTTGCCACTTCTGGTTCAATAGTTTGCCATTCACTATCCTGAAATTGAAAAAATATGTGAGTCCAATGTGTACTAAATATGCTTTGGTGATGTCCTCTCTTCTTGCAATATGTACTTCACATCCGTGGAACTAATTTTACGCATTTTTTTTACTGCCTCATTCAAGCCTCGCTCATTACTCGCAATAAAATTTAGACGGTTTCTATTCAAGTGTTAATCTGACTCCTCTATAAAATAATATATACATGGTGATTTGTCCTTTTTGCCAAAAATATTAAGTATGTGTATTTTCTATAATACGGTAAATATAATGTTTTTTTTTTGTTTTTGTTTTTTGGCAAATAAATGTATTTTGAATTTGAATTTGATATGTAACTGACTGGTTTGCATCCTGAATATTTGTGGAATGAAATAAAATATGTCAATTGTTTTCATCTTAATCTTTTATTGAAACTAAGAAATTATGTATGAGAAATGACATCAGACAAATGACCGTCCCTAGAAGCAGCGCAAATCTGAGCCCTCTTGATTACATTTTCCATCACTTTTTGGTGGGTTTGGGGAGGAATACTTTTAATCGCTTCCGTAATATTGTTCTTCAGCTGCTCTACAGTATTTGGTCTGTTGGCATAAACCCTATTAAAAAATCCCCATAAAAAAAGTCAGGAGCCGTTAAATCCGGTGCCCCTCGTGGCCAATTGACATCACCAAATCGAGAAATTAAACGTCCCGGAAATACTGTTCGCAAAAGATTCATTCTCTCTAGCTGTCTGACAAGTTGCTCCGTCCTGCTGGACCACATGTTTTGCAGGTTAAATTGTTGGATTTGAGGAGCCAGAAAGTTTTGCACCATATCACGGTAGCATTCGCCAGTGACAGTAATAGAATTACCTGCAGCGTGTTCAAAGAAGTAAGGTCTAATGAGACCTCCATACCAAACACCGATCCAAATTGTGACTCGACGAGGATGTAGTGATCGTTGATGGATGACACGAGTGTTCTCTAATTCCCAGATACGACAATACTGCTTATTAACAAATATACATATTTTGGGTATTAAGCTGCGATATTGTAGTAGTAGTACTAGTAGTAATAGAAAGATTTATTTAGCACATTTGGCTACATAAACAGAATAATTGTAAACAACTTAGAACTAGTAAATTCAAGCCATATTGTAGATTTAACAAGTGATTTCTCAATTTTACTTTAAATTTTGTCAAAGTTTTCTGGTCTTTTATCTCTGAGTATAATTTATTATATTCAATCAACCCTTGATGGAATACAGATTTGTAGCATATGTTATACTTTTTGGTCATTAAATGGAAGTCATCTTTATTTATGGTATTATGTAACTGATGGTCGACATTTGATGATGTTAAATTAGTTAGACTTGATGGAAATATATTATTTTTTACTTTATAAATGAATATCATTACAAGATATTTGATAAACATTTTTACATTGAGCCATTTTAATTTGCTAAGCATTTGCCTAATTGGAGTATATTTATCTTTATTTAGTATTATTCTCATGCACTTATTTTGTAAAATTTGCAGTCTTTCAAAAATTGAATTATTTGCTAAATATAGAATAGTCGAACAGTACAAGAAATTTGGAAGAATGATGGTATTATAGATAATTCTTCTGCTATATGAACTCAGACATCCAGAAACTCTCGATAAATATCCCACTTTACTACTAATCTTATTTATAACTTTTTCATAATGAATATCAAAAATTAATCGAGAGTCAACAAAAACCCCCAGGTATTTAAAATTTTCTACGAATTCAATATCTTCACCATCAATATTCAGTTGAACATTTGTACATTGTTTTTTTTCCGAATAACATAGCTTTCGTTTTACTTGTATTTAATTTTAGTCTGTTAGATGCTAACCATTTTGAGACAAATTTCCAGTCTTCATTTATATAAGAGATACCAGTCTGAATATTTTTAGGACTTATATAAATCATAGTGCCATCGGCGAAAATCTGAATTTTACATTTTTTGACTATGGCAGGTAAATCATTTATGTATAAAATAAAAAGAAGTGGTCCCAGGATACTGCCCTGTGGAACACTCAACGTATTTTCAATTTTTGATGAAATAGTATCATTAACTTTTGTAAAACACTTCCTGATATACCATATGCCTTCAATTTACCTAACAAAACATCTCTATCAATCGTTTCAAATGCCCTCTTCAAATCCAAAAATACTGATATGACAACTTCTTCTGAGTCTATGGCTCTTCTCCAATTCTCAGTTACCAACTGGAAAGCCGTTTCTGTGGAATATTTTTTTCGAAAGTCTGCTTGCGCCTCCACTAAAATTTTGTTTTCTTCTATAAACTGCATTAATTGGTCATGCACTATGGACTCTAATAATTTTTCAAAGTCTGGTAACGCATTTACTGGTCTCATATCGCTGCATCTTTTAGAATTTTTTATTTTGGAACTGGTGTTATTGTAGAGCATTTCAAATTTTCAGGAAAAGAACTGCTTCTCAGTGAACAATTGATCCAATTTAATACAGGATATCCCAAAATTTCGAAACAGCTTTTCAGCACGTTTTTAGCAGTGATTTCGGCACAGCTGTTATTTGATTTTAAACTGTTTACTTTTTTTCTTAGATAATTCAATGATACGCTGTGAAATTTTGAAAGTGTTTGCAACATTTCCCCCTGGAAACTGATTTTCATATAATCCGGTGCAGCATTGGCAGTACCCACAATATCAACAATACTTTGCACAAAATATTCATTTAGTTTGTTTGCAATCACCAAAGAAGTTGTTTCGCTACCGTTTTCGAATTGAACTTGATTTACACAATCATGCGGTTTCGAATTGATCAGTTTTTTTAAAGTCTTAAACATCTTTACACTGTCGCACTTGTTATTATCGATTTGTTTATCGTAGAATTTTCTTTTTTCTTCTCTAATTACATACACACATTTATTCCTAAGAGTGTTACATACCTCCCAATCATCATTTGATTTTGTGAATATACATTTTTTGTATGACTGTATTGTCGGCGACTTCCATGATCACTAGGCTGTAGTTCTTGGGTTAACTGAATTTTGTATGGCCGCAAATGCAAGCCTTTTTTAGTGCATAATGATGTGCGACGAATACCCCGTTCTGAGAACGATGTCTGGTAGACGTCTCAGGGCGCACCACTACACTTTCACGAACTCTCTCGATATTTTCCGGAGTACGAACAGTTCGAGCACGGCCCGACCTTGGCAAGTCTTTAGCTTCACCCATTTGTTCTTATTTGCATCAACTGACGAATGGAGTTGACACTGGGCACATTATTTCGACCGAAATTGTGTTATAAGTAAGGTGATGGAGAGGTGTATAAATTAGATTATTCTGGAGTACCTTGAGCGTCACGTCACGATAGGCCGTATAGTTCCAAGCACCAGCGAGCACTGGGGTAATCCTAGCTCACGTAACGCAACTGTAGAGTAAACTGATCCAGTTATATGATGAGGCTCATGTTGTTGCTCTTGATATCATGAAAGCGTTCGATCAGCTGTGGCACGCTGTCCTCTTATGCAAATTTCTATCCGATGGCCTCCTAGAGAAGCTTTGCAGATAGCTGACTGACTGTTACATGTGTAGTGACCAAGGGTTAACGGCAAAATGTTCGAGCCTTAGATATTTTGAAAAACTAACTTTTCTACTATTTCAACTTACCCCTCGCCTCCTGTACTGTAACTCATGTTTCGAGACTGGAGCTTTAGATTCGACTTTCCACGTCAACACCACGTCCTTGTTAGGTTTCTCAGGTTTGACAAACTCCTGTATAGCGGGAGTTTTCACTAAGCTCACGACCTTTTCTACTTTTCCTAGGCTATTTTTGGCATAACAGGTGTATTGACCGAAGTCTTCTTCCTGGACGTTGGTGATTACTAGGATATTTTCGATGTATTCGTTCTTTTTGCTAAAAGTACGAAATAAGAAGATTAATACGAATCTATATTAGAGAAGAATTTCAAATACATGTGCTTTCATTGGCCAGAAAAACATGGGGGATTATTGATCATCTTTATTTGAATATTTGAAGTTTGTGGTAAACAGATATATGTGCAAAATACTCCAAGGACTTTCAAAGTTGGCTTGGGAAGAGGATACGAATGTAAAAAATTGTAAATAAAGTACCAATGATTATTGTTTTAATATTCGTTTAATTATTACCTGCGTAGCTTGACCCTGGGAGTGTGGACATCAATGTTCTTTCCATTTCTTTGCCACAGAACTTCGGGTGCAGGATAGGCCTTGACTGTGCATTTCAGCTCAGCTTCATGTTCGTTAGCAGTGTTAACCATATATTTCTCAATATTAACTACTGGCTTATCTGCGGATAAAATGACTAGATAAGTGTTGTGATTGAAACGAAAATGAAATTGTATTGTATGACTGCAGTAATATCTCCAGTGTCAAATGTTACCCAGCTCTTGAGGTTCCTTAATGATATGCGAATATTTAAGGGTGTGAATCTACAATGTTAGTTTGCTTTATAAAGTATGGTCCAAAAATGTTTGCTTACAAAAACTGGGGGTGTTGAAGTTTTAGGAAAAAAATGGAAATTAATATTTTCAGAACTGCTTCAGATACATATTTCACTGATATTTTTCAATGCAAAAATAATTTTTAGCTTTAACAGTGGTGTGCGTACGGGTATTGACTACGATATTTTTTAAGAAAAAAATGATACGCCAATGGTTTTTTGCCAAATAAAAATTATGTTTGAAATCCCCGTCTAATTTAAAACACATTATCTCTCTGGAATTGTTTTCCTTCGATGCGCCATTTTTGAATAAAAAAATAAAAACCGTTCTATTGTCCGAGAAAATTAATGTAATAATTGAAGAATGCAGTTTAGCAACAAATATCTAGTTGCTCTGGAATATGTCACTGGCTTTTGACATTTGACAGGTCTCTGTTATATAAATCTGTTCGCAGTGACATCTTTTTCATTATTTAGTTTTTACAATCTTGTTAATAATGGTGAATTTTCCAAATGCAGAAATGGCGGAAATTCATTACGTATATGGCCTTGCGGACGGTAATGGTGAGCAAGCCAGACGGATTTATCACCAGACATATCCCGATCGTGCTTTGCCAGATAGTCGAACCTTTTCTAATATTCATCGTTGTCTTGTTGAAACTGGTTCTGTCCGAAAAGGAACATCTGAAGAAGTGTGAGAACACCTGAAATTGAAGAAGCAATGCTGCACGAAGTCGAAGAACATCCTGAAACGAGTACGAGGAAGATCGCTAGACACTTAAATCTTTGCCATCAAATTGTTTGGAGAATTTTAGTGGATTTTTTGTTATATCCTTACCATATTTTAAGAGTACAGGCATTACTTCCCATTGATTTTCCAAGGCGTGTGACCTTTTGTCAGTGGTTCACGGACGAAGCTAATTTTTCTCGAAATGCCATTCAGAATTTCCCCAATAATCATTTGTGAGTAGAAGAATCCCTATGCCGTAACCGAAACCCATTTCAAACACCAATTTTCGGTTAACGTATGGGCAGGAATTATTGGCAACCACTTTATTGGCCCATTCTTCTTGCCGGGACGACTTGACGGTCAGAGTTACCTCAATTTTCTTCAACAACAGTTGCCTTTGCTGCTTGATGATGTTCCGTTAGTAATAAGAAACAATATGTGGTACATGCATGATGGTGCACCAGCGCATTTCAGTGTAGGGGTTCGTAATTATTTACAAACTGTTTATCCAATCGTTGGGTTGGCCGCGGTGGGCCCCAGAATGGCCACCAAGGTCCCCAGACCTCAACAGTTTAGATTTCTTTTTGTGGGGCTATCTTAAAACACTAGTGTGCAATAGTCTTATTAACACTGTAGAGGAATTAAGATAAAGAATAGTTGCAGCTTGTGATAGAATAAAAAACACTCCAGGGATATTTCAACGAGAGCGCAATTCCATGAGAAGGAGGGCGGAAGCATGCAGACTAAGTGAAGGGGACCATTTAAACAATTTTTGTAATCATTTCATTGGTTTAAATGTTATGTTTATGTTGTCAGTTGTTGCTGTTCATTACCCCTAATGTGTTTAATTTTTCCAATTAAATTAATAACAATTTTGTTAGACAATAGAACGGTTTTTATTTTTTTTACTAAAAAATGGCACATCAAAGGAAAGCAACTCAAGAGAGATCATTTGTTGTAAATTGAACGGGGAATTCAAAAGTAATTTTTATTTGGCGAAAAACCATTGGCGTACCATTTTTTTCTTAAAAAATATCGAAGTCAATACCCGTACGCATACCACTGTTAAAGCTAAAAATTATTTTTGCATTGAAAAATATGCAACTTTATTAACTTTCAGTACATACTAAATATCAGTGAAATATCTGAGGCGGTTATGAAAATATTAATTAATTTCCATTTTTTTCCTAAAACTTCAACACCCCCAGTTTTTGTAAGGAAACATTTTTGGACCATAGTTTATAAAGCAAACCAATATTAATTTTTCATGTAGATTGACACCCTTAAATATTCGCATATCATGAAGGAACACCCTGTATATTGCATCTTCAAACTCATTCTTATCGCCGTTATTTTATTAATGTTTTTGTAAAGTATTAGGAATGATTGTAAAAGAGCCATAAAAGCAAGAATATGCCATTTCACGGCAAAGTGAGATTTGAGAAATGATTTTCAAAAATCAGCTTGGAAAGCTAGCGATGAGAAGGTAAGACACTTCACTCTAGAGAGATTATTTTCCACCAGTTCCGATCATAACTAGTATTAAAAACTTCAGCAAACCGGCGTATGCGCGGGAGCTCTTCGTGGAGCAGACTTATTTCTAGGCCAGTCAAAGTACGACCGTCTGGAAACGAGCCATTTTCTTTCAATTGACTGCTTATTTGGAACTATTAGTGCTTTCTACGTTCTTCCGCTTTACCAGAACGTGTACACTATACAAATATACTTTTCATTATTATTGAGCCCTGCATCTCTAGAAGATGATACTGCAAGTATGTAGGTACCGTAAAGAGGTAGAAAGATATGTAAATACACATATCTTCCCACTCCACTTAGCGAAGAAATTTTGTAATTGGGAAGGATTTCTAAAATGAGATATTATGTTTTTTGGAAGTTACATGACATATACATTACGCAAAAACATTTATGTAAGTCTGTTTGTCTGTCCGCCAATCCTTGTTCCCTCTATAATATGGGAAGTACTGCTTGGATTTTGTTCAAAATTTTGAGATGCTACGCGAAAAACGAAAACCCTTTGTAATTTTTGAAAACTTTCAAAAAATAAAAATCGCTTGCTTTAACTAATAAAAGAATAGATGCGAGCATTTTTTCCTGACACGGGCCATATTCTTGAAGAGTATCCCTGTTGACAAGTTTTCATCAAATAATTTATTCCCTTACAATTTCCTCCAGAATATTTGTTATTTATAACTTTCGCCAGATTGGTTGGATGACTGCAGGTGCCATTTCACTATATAAAGTATTACAAGCTTATTCATCTACTTACGTTCAACGAAGACCTCGATATGCGCATGCGCCGCTTTTCCGACTTTGTTGTCTGCCAAGCACCGGTACAATCCCCCGTTCTTGAACGTCAGATTGGGGATGGTCAGCATTTGCCCTTTGATGCCTAGCCTTTCGCCCTCGCGCCCCCTGTACCACATCACTTCCGGCGTGGGGTGGCCTGTCGCGTTGCAGACCAGGGTCGCCGTATCACCCTCCTTGAACTGGAATTGAGATGTTTATGGGTTATTGTGATTAGATGAGTAATAAGAATGTGGGTATCTACATATGTATAGGGTGAATCTAGGAGTTTTGGAAACGTCCGGATGTTTGATGTACCATGACAATCATTTGTTTATTCGTGTCTCTTAGACAAAATGATAGTTATAGAATAATTAAGGATGTTCAAGAATTTCCAATTATCCTTATTGTCAGATCATAGAGTTTTCAAAGTACAGTACAGCTTATTTGTGTTGTACTATCGTTGCTTCTTTTCTTGTTTCATTTTAGTAATCGACAAAAAATTGAATCATTTTAAAAACTTTTAAGCCACACAATTTGAATTGTTCAGGAGATAATAAGTCCTCGGTGATCTGGACTCCGATCAGACCAATCAAAATACATATTCGGTGTTTTGTTAGAACTTTGATGAGCGCTAGGGCGCTTCTTGTTAGTCAAGGTGCAGCACTGTGTTTTGGAAGCATTAAACTGTACCCCATTGTTGCGTCCCAAGCAATGATAACCTTCAGGTCTCTCGACAGAGAGGAAGTTGCTGCTAGACTTCTTTTCTACAGCTCACCGACCGAGATCGGTTGTCACCCTGAATTCCATGTAGAGTGCTCTCATCAGCAAATATGATATGCAAGAGGAACATTCTCGGAGCCAAGACCGATCCCTGGGGAGCACCCGCGTTGACATTGTTGGATGCAGCCAGAGAAAAAGTCAGCCCCCCATCTGCAAAGCTTCTCTGGGAGGCCGTAGGAATCAACCTGCTTACTTATTGCGTATGTAATTACGACAACTGCCAAAAAGCGTGAAAAGAACTATACGAGTACGTGAAGTATACTTTATACACTCATCTATCTTTAGAAAGCATTTTCAGCAAAAAAGCATTCCGGAAAAATGTGACAAAAGGTTTCTGAAATGACCCGTTCAATTGCATTTCAGTTCTTGTACAACACTTTTCTTTAATGCTAGCTCCCATTTATTTTTTGATCGGGTCAAGCAACTTGAAATTCTGGATGATCAAACTGATGCCTGAATAATATATTAGCGCAAAAGTGGTAGTTGAAAATTTTGTTACATGACATGAGGTCTATGTGACACATCATATTGAATCTCCTTTACTTTATAACCCTAGAGTGTAATCAACTGATCATCAACACGCTACAGAAAAAAAATATGGAATACACATTGAAATTATGGTCAACATTTGTCCCTTTTGTGTTTGCTGCACGATCATCAGCTTGCTACGGGGCCTCAGAAACGTTCTATTGGACGATTGTCCAAAGCCTTTTCGAATAATAAGTTACGAAATATCGGCAGAGCATTAGTCTTGCAAACCGAAAATGCGATTTTTTTTGCACCTTTGTTTTCCTCAACAAAATCAAGAAGTGAGTAGTTTTGTGTTGGATTACCCTGTACATGCGATAGATAGTTACATGAATTATATGAGCATGACTAAACGAAACTATCTCCATAAGACCTTAATGCAAGGGTGGGGCTAGCACAGACATATCAACATAAATTAATGGGGTGACATCATTTGGGTGAGTATCGGTTTCTTTTATGATTCCTTTATATCTCCAGCAGTAATACTGGCTTTATTGGATTTGTTAGATACATGTATTTGTTTGAGAACAATTTATAACGGGTTTAGGTCTTATTTGCCGGACTGCAGCAATATATTTTGATATTAGCCAATAGAAGTGTTACTCATCACTGGGTCCTGCATACATACGTGGTCACATTTTTAGCAGGAAGGAAGGTGATGTGGAGTTAACACTTTTTCAGAAGGTCAAAGACAAACTTTATAACAAGAGGTTTAAGAATATATGGTTCGAACGACTTTCGAGCACAATGGAAGGAATGCATATTAAATGTGAATCTTCGTGGTTCGGGCCAAATAGCACATTGCCATCTTAACCAAACTACAAAGGGTAATCCTGCCTTTCTTACGGGAAGAGATTTGATAAGATCTACATATTGCTTTCTCCCCAGTTCAAAATTGAGAGGTCTAGGTGGAGAATAATAATCTGCTGAATAAATGGCAGTCAAGGTACTGGGTGGCTGCAGAGTAACCTGGGACCTTGTAGTGTAAGCTAGTAAGGATATTGATAGGATAGAAGCGAGACATCTGGTCTCATTTTGGATGCTGGACACGCTCCCATAATATAAACAATATTCTCATATTCTTTAACAACTGTAACCCCATTCTGTTACCGATTAAAAGAATATAAAAATAGCTGAAAGTATGGTTTAAAAGCTAGCGAGCAAGCATATGGACTACATTTAAAACACATACTCGTACATAGTTTTTAATTCTTTTCCTGCTGTCTGCCTTTTTCTACTTCAACATCTTATTCCGAATAACATCAATAACCTCAGTCATTCTAGAAGTACTCCACTTCCATTTATTAATTCTATCATTTTCCATTTTTAACATAAAAATAGACAGGCGACTTCATCCAATAAAACTTCAGTCAAACACCTAAACGAAGCGACACGAACCTATGATCTTGCCATTTGAAAAAATATCGCTACTAATACTATACATGTGAAAGTGTGTATGTATGTTTGTATGCATGTTTGTATGTATGTTTGTATGTATCGTCGTATGTATCGTTGTATGTATGTTTGTATGTATTTTTGTATGTATGTATGTATGTTTGTATGTGTTTGTATGTATGTTTGTATGTATGTTTGTATGCATGTTTGTATGTATGTTTGTATGCATGTTTGTATGCATGTTTGTATGCATGTTTGTATGCATGTTTGTATGTATGTTTGTATGTATGTTTGTATGTATGTTTGTATGTATGTTTGTATGTATGTTTGTATGTATGTTTGTATGTATGTTTGTATGTATGTTTGTATGTATGTTTGTATGTATGTTTGTATGTATGTTTGTATGTATGTTTGTATGTATGTTTGTATGTATGTTTGTATGTATGTTTGTATGTATGTTTGTATGTATGTTTGTATGTATGTTTGTATGTATGTTTGTATGTATGTGTGTGTGTATGTTTGTTTGTATGCTCCATTTTCACGTCTAAACGGATGAACCGATTTTAATGAATTTCAGCACTATTTGACATTATGAACATGAAATTTGGTGTTTATGGGCAGGACGTATCAGCTGAGAACTAATTTAGCAACATGGCTGTGTCAAGGGGGGTTATGAGCAGCTTATGCACAAAACATGTCATCTAAGAACATTTTAAAACTGGGCCGGAGTAAGGAGGCTCAGGGCAGATATACTACAAAAGAGAAGTGATACACATTAGTCACGAAATCTCGAAAACTATTTGACCTATGAAGCTAACATTTGGTAGGAAGATAGTTTATGGGCAGGACATGTTATTTAAGGACGGATTTCACAACAGGTCCGCATTAAGGAAGCTAAGGCAAAAAACAGCTTAATGATACACATTAATCACGAAACCTTGGAAATATTTGACCTATGAACATGAGATTTGATGGAGAGGTAGTTCATGAAGAGGCAATGTCAGCTGAAAAAGGATTTTGCAATAGAGCTAAGATAAGGGCTGTGAAATAAAACAGACATTAATCGCGAAATTTCAGAGACTTTTTGACCTGCAAACTTGAATTTTGGCTGGGAGGTAGCTTATGGACAGGATATTTCAGCTTAGAACGGACTTTGTGACAGGGCCGGATTAAGGGATTTAAGAGCACTTGCAAGTTTGTTTGAAATTGCTTGGAGTTTTCTAATATCTAAAGATTTGCGAAGATGAGATTCTTTCTAGATTAGACTTAGATCGTGTAACCATAAATTTGGCGGAGAGGTAGCTTTTACAATGAAAAATTTAGTTTAATTTAAAATGCTGATATAAAAAAAAGTGGTAACATTAATGTGTTAGCTCCGCGGTTTTACCGTCGCAGCTTATAGGTGGCTTCATTAATAAAATAAGCAAATTTCCCAAGTATGCAACTTGGCTGTCAATTTACTGATGCTATGCAATAATAGCAATACTCAATAACAATGTTAACAATTTAACGCATACAAGCAAATAACGGGTGATTTTTTAAGAGGTATAGGATTTGATTTTCCAAAAAAAACACAAAAAATTTGAAAAAACGATTAAATCTTTAGTTGAGTCGATAGAACGGTCGATATAATTTAATGTTTAAAGATTATTTCATGTAAATGTTGGCCGCGGCTCCGCTTTAGATGGTCCATGCGCAAGGTCCAATTTTGGCACACTCTCTCCAACATATCGGCTGGTATCTCACGAATAAATGCTTTAATATTGGCTTCCAGTGCATCAATCGTTGCTGGTTTATCCCTGTAGACATTAGCCTTAACATGGCCCCACAAGAAATAGTCCAACGGCGTTAAATCACACGATCTAGGCAGCCAATTGACGGGCCGCAAACGTGAGATAAACTGTTCACCGAACTCGCCTCTCAATAGGGCCATTGTTAAAACCACATGTCAGCCAAGTCCAGCTCTTCCATTTTGGGCAAAAAAAGTTTGTTATCATCGCACGGTCCTCACTCTACGTCTGCGTGTTGGTGGTTTATTGTTTAATAATGTAAACTGGGTTCGAAATTTAGTCACAAGTTTCCGAATAGCTCCCTCAGTAGGCCGACCAAATTGCCCATAAATTGGAAGCAGTGTTCGATGCACTCTCTTAACCGAGCATGAATTTTGATAGTAAGATTCAATAATTTGCAAGCGTTGTTCGTTCGTAAGTCGATTCATGGTTAAATTATAGACCAAACCGAACAAGTTTGACAATGACACAAGACACAATTCACGCGTTATCTGTCAAAAACAGTGTTGCCAAAAAGATAGTAGCAAAAAAATCACCCATTACATATCTATGAATAATAATTTCCGCAGCATTACATGTTATGTAAACTGCGCGTATGTTCTAGTACGGCGTGGCAGATACGTCAGCTACTATTCACACTTGCACAGCTAATGAGACCAGAGTCTGCTTTAAGGGAGGGAACCGGTGTATGTCATTTTCCTGTAAACAACTACTCTACTACTCTACCTCTCACTGTATATTTGATACAATGCATTTATTATTTATATTTTTTGCATCCCACTGGCTTGACCTCTGCGGTTTTTATAGCTCATAAAAGCTTCTTAATTGTGCATCTAGTTAATGATGCTAATGTAATGAATGACATGTACGACCTCACAAAAAAGTACGGGAAGTGTAGACAGTAACGTACTCTAACGGTTTGGCGGCGATGTTTATGCATGTTTGCATGAGCTCATGTCTAATTATTTCATAATTTGACCTTTGGAGAAATTTTGAAATAAAACATTACGGAATCGTGCTCGCCCGCCGAATAACAAAATTGTGTCAAGGATTTTCGCGCACTTGGTTGGAGAAAACAACTTTGAAACAGTCAAATATATGTATATGTTGATCTTGATTCGTTTGCATTTTTTGTTAATTATTGAGAGTAGATAAAGGTATATATAGGAAACATCTATTAGCAATATAATGGGCTTTGATTATAGCAATTACAGAGAGTCTCTCTAATAAAGCTGTAATTTTTGTTACGGCATGACAACGAACGAAAGATGAACAATTATCATCTATCAAGGATATACGGTCTAACGAAATAAAACAGCACAAACTGCCATCTATTACCAAAATCGACCACAGCGAGAGTGAAAACATCAAACTGTCCGCTGGAACTGTATCCCCGTTTGCATTTGACAGTCCGGTCACGACTGTGGCCGCTAGATGCCGCCGATTCTGGTGCTATAGTAGAACGATCTACTCGTCGTCGGAACTAGTGATATAGCGTTCGTTCGTTAGACCACAAACGGCTAACAAGAGGAGCTGTCAAATGCGAAAAGCTTGCTGTTTCCCTACCGTAGATGCCATTTTGTGCTGACTTATTTCGTAACCCTATAGGTTTCAGTTCATGGAAAGCATTAAGTAAGATTCCTTACTTCTTTTTTTATGGCAAGTTCAGGACCAACAAGCCTGTGTGATTCTGATTTCGCGGGTACGACTGCCATGTCATTGCCATAAATCTCAGTGTTAAATGCTTATTGCCTTAATTACTGCTTAACTGTTGGAACATATACTTATTCTCCTAACACCATGTCGCTTCTGAATGGTGTACCTACCAAGAGGCAGTGAAAGCCTTGTTCCCGGATCAAAAACGTCTCTTTCTAGCCACTTAGCGGAAACTCTGCTAGACGCTAGTCGTCTGAAGTTTACTTATATTGATTCACATTTATAAGTTTTATTATGAAATGACTCACGATGATCTCATATGCGTAGCTATAGAAATTCAAGAACATTCACATTAAAATGTTAAGATGTACAGTCAAGTCACGTTACATAGTAAGATAGCCTTGGCGTGTCTATTTGTTATTTATTATTGTAACTATGATTTGTCCACAAGTATTATTTACGTGTAGGTTCTCTGTGTTTTTAAATATCTCACGTATAAATAATACTCGTATGTGTACAAGTATGAGTAATTCGGGTTCATTTTGATGTTAATCATTCAAACATGAGTAAGCACGTCAAAGAAAATATTCGATATAATTTTGGTATTTCCAGATCCAGGGATCGGTCATAGCTCCAAAACTGTTCCTCTTACATATCAACGACCTCCTTTCCGAATGATCAACCCAATTCACAGCTTTGCTGATGACAGCACTCTACATGCAGGAATTCAGAGTGATCTCTGCCGCTGAGCTGGAAAAAGAAGACTAGCGACGACTTCCTCTCTGAAAGACCTGGAGGTTATTACTGCAACAATCTTGTACCGTTTAATGCTTCCAAAACACAGTACTGTACCTTGACGAACAAAAAGCGTCCTAGCGCTCATCCCGTTTCGATGGATGGTCGTGTTCTGCCATTTCGGCTGATCGGAGTCCAGATTACCAAGGACCTGATCTGGCACGAACACATGCGTTACCACCGAGAGGGGTAACGACACATCTCGTCAAAAGCGACAGCTGCTGAGAAAAAACCAGGCTATTTGTTAAGGCTCTGCACGATCTTCTCACTCTATACAAGGCTCAGATAAGGTCTAGCATTGAGTATTGCTCACACGTTTGGGGTGCTGCCGCGCTCACTACATTAGTTATGTTCGATGCTGTCCAGAGGACTGATCAATGACTCTTCTCTAACAGACAGTCTCGGGACCCTTCCGCACCGGCGGGCTGTCGGCGATCTAGATCTCTTCTATCGCTACACCAACGGGCTTTGCTCCTCAGAGCTCTCTTCCATGATGCCGCCCCGCGATGTGCTTACCAGACAGATCCGTCTGACTTTGGCTTCTCATCCTAACTGTGTCAAACTTCGTACATCCAGAACTGGCCGATACGACCGCTCCTTTGTCTCCAGGGTGTCGAGATTGTAAAACAGTCTACAAGAGGAAGCTCTTCCCAGTTCTACTAACCTTAGGCAGCTAAAAAATCGGATTAACAAAATTTCTTTGGGATCATAGCAGCCGCCGTGTCCCGGCATTTAGGCTTCTACCTGTGCGGTTTGTTCCTTATATAAAAAAAGCACACAAGAGCGCAGCTCACATTGTCAACAAAATCAAATAGTGCCTCTTTAGGTCCAACCAAAATTGCAATTTTTGTACAACATCTGATCTATAAATTAATTTCAGGATCAATTTAAAATTCCCGAATACTACTCGTAGTTAACAATGCCAAGGCACCCTTCAAACTGACGGACTTCCGCCTCTTTGCTCTCCCTCCTTTCTATCTTCTTCCCTTCTTTCTCTCAGAATAGTATCTGGGCAACAAGACTTGAGAGACCTACTGACTTAAGATAAGTAAGAGCAAAGGTCCTAAGAACCGCTCTGACAGACAATGACGAATAAAAAAAGAGGGAATGTACAAAATGGTCTAGATACCAGCCTAAAAAAGTTTCACGTGTAAAGCTACTCACCACAGTCTTATTTTCGCGGGTCTTTATTTCCAAAATGACAGGTGGAGCTTCCCTGACGATCCTATGGCTGAGAACGTCAGAATTCGATTTGGCTTGGATGATTTTGCAATCGTATTGACCGAAATCGTCATCAGACATAACCCTCACCTCGAGGGTGTTGTTGGCATATTCTGCCAGGTTCGACCTGTCAGTAAGCCTTACGTGTGACTGGTAGAGGATTCTGTTGGCGTCCTTTTGCCATATCGTAACGCCATCTGGAAAATAAGCAAAATAAGCTAGCTTGTTTACTAATAGAATATTTAAAAAAATATTCCAATCGAAAAAGTACAATTATTTTTTTTATGTGATTTGATTCGAGCAGATAATAAAGTCCTATGAACATGAAAACAACGGGATAGGTTTCAGGAGTTTAATTTGTAAAACTTGTCCCCATGTCCTCCAACGTGCAAACGTAAAATTTCGCACTGTTATTGTGTGGAAACTAACATAATAATTAATAATATATTTTTTTCTACGCACTGTTCTGAGAAGCTGATCCTACATCGGCCGTGATAGGCTTCCGCCACATGAGAGGAAACTTATCTTCATACCCTGACCTTGAGTTTGGCAAGAACTGTTTTATGGGTATCTGGTATAAAAATCAAATCCTATTGGCGAGAAACACAGAGGATTCAAATGAGTATTAAAATTCCAAATGCATGACACCAAAAGTAGTATTTTGCTTTTATTACTTAATCATGAGTAAGCTAACCAAAATATAGAGACCGAGATTCCTTTTCTAGTAATCCATCATCTCTGTTTATTTCTTATTTGCTTGCTTAATAGTGAAAAGCAGCTTTCTCGCATATCTTATTGGAAGATTTTCTGGCTGTGTGCCCAAAATATTCCAGTATGCGTTTCGGCCTCAGTCAGTATTGACTATAATGTCCAATTTAAACGGAGTAACAGGTGAAGAAAAAGTTGGCATGAGTTAATAATGACTTTACTTAGACAGATAGTGTATTTTTATTAGCTAAAATAACGGGTGTTCCAAATTTGACTCTCAAGATTAGGATCCAGAAGCGATTATAGATACGAAGTCGGTTAAATGGAGGCAAAGAAGATAACTAATAATGTGGTACTTGGCAAGTTTCGCAATTCAGTAAGTATTTCCGGAGGTAGACTAACTAATGGCGTCAAGTAGGTTGACTCTGAACTTGCCACGCAACGCCGTTATCAGCACAAAACTAGATCCTCTGAGAAAGAAGTCATTTAAACAGGTCCATACAATTAGTCCATAAACATTTTTTCCTTGCCCTACCGGTAATGCATCTGGGAACGTCGCCTCTACGCGATACTTAATCCCGTCAGACGTGACAGCGCGGTCAGAGCATAGGAAACACTATGCTGTGCGGTATGCACGCTGCCGGGACCAGCAACTGTGCCCGGTAGGTACACGATCTGTTGTACCAGAATATTTTTTAACTTTTAACGGAGAAATCGATGATGTGTGAGATTTGCCTAATAAGTGCGTAGAAGAACCAAGCTTGGGAGCATATAAATGTACAAACATCAAGAAATTGAGATAATCCCTCCCCATCCCCGTACAACCCGACCATAATTTTTTTTTACCTCTCATCAAAAATGATCAGGATATCCCGAAACGTAAAAAATAAGTTTGAGTGATTTTTATTCTTTTTTGTTTTTGACCTTTTCCGCTGCCGCCATTAGATCGATTTTCAAAAACTATAATGCTTTTGCGTCCTTGGCATAATAGCAATATTGTGTAAAACTTTTATCGAAATCTGAGTTATAGGCAGTGTTAACGGACAGACTGACAGGCGGACAGACTGACAGACCGACAGACAGACAGATCCACGGATAAGAGTGACATGTTTTTTCGGGATGTACATGTCATATAACATCAAAAAAAAAATATGACTGAATTTGCTCAAATCGATTTTTTTCCTGCATTCTTTTTGGTTGGAGACATCAAAATAAATTGCACATTATAAATTCCACTTTTTCAGCTCTACAAGGTGGTTAATTAGAATTTTAATATGACGTTCTGTAGGTAATTTGTTCTAATTTAAGAACTTTATGTTTTCTTCAGAACCAAATATTTTTTTTGCACAGATAAACAGAATTTTTAATTAACGTGTGTGATCTTAGTAAAAAAACTAATATTTTCATCGTTTTCATTGAAAATGACAGCTTATCACGTATATTCGATTACATCACAAATTGAAGATTGTTTCAGTTTTTGAGAAGCACGTTTGCAAGACATTCATATAGTTTGCCCATTTATCGACTATAACAAGCGTTATTTTAGTACGACGGCACCTCTCTACACGACACTTTAGCAGAAAATTAATATTATTTAAATGCAAGATGTGTGAATCGATTCAGATATGATGATATGAAACGTGCAGCATCGTTGACGCTTTTCCTTTAAAGTTTTTCTCAAAATTATTCCGCCTTACTATCCCTCTCAAATAATCTGGAAAAGTTATAAATATCATATTATATGAAACAAATGACTATCTGATAATGTCAGGCCTACAGGGAAGATACTATTTTTCAAATATAGCTTTACAATCTCAATGTAGGACATACTTTAAATCAGAATCAGAAACTCTATTCACCTGTGCCATAATCCAATATGGCACTCTTAAGAAAAAATAAAGTTGATAATTGAGAACAAAGAAAAGTCATATTGAAATTCTAATTATGCCATTTTGTGGAAGCGAATAAAAAATAAAAAATACATTTTAACAAAGAAGCTTTTATTTAGCTGTTAATAAAGTGAACTAAAAATTTAAAAATATTTTTTTCCGATTGAAAATACTTAAACTATAAGCTTCTTCATCTCAAGTTTTCAAATAAAAAGCATGTTAGACCATTTTTGTACCCTACTGTCAAAACGTAACACGCTTTTATTTGAAAACTTGAGATAAAGGTGATTAATTATCGTTGAAATATTTTCAATCGGAACACATTATTTTCAAATTCTTAGTTCATTTTATTAACTGGTTAATGTGCGTATGTAAAAATCTTTTATTTTATTAATTTTTCAAATTATCAGTATTTATGATGTCAAATAACCAGTGTGACTTCTATAATATTTTTTTTATATTTTATTAATAGGACTTAATAAAACTTCTTACTTTATTTGTATTATAAAATATCGGTAGATATAATACAAAGCATGACATTATTTGCTTATTCCTTTCATTGAGCCCTTTCATCTGATACATATATCATATCACTATGGTAATTATAAGCGCCATCTTGGGGCGGTCGCAATATTGGATATACGAGTAGAATAACGTCAATTTGCTTAGTGTGTTGCTCTCATTGAGCACTTTGACTTGATAGCCATATCATAAGGGTGACCATGCAACACGTCATAAATCGACATTTTTCGGCGGCCGCCATATTGGATCTACACTGAAATCACTAATCTTATTGTGTAAAAGCTTGTAAAAATTGGAAATCTTAATGTGCAATTAGCATAATATACACACCTGGATTGTCTACTTCACACGGTAACAACACTGTATCCCCTATCCTGGCAATAAACTCCATGGGTTTGGAGATGATCTTAACGGGAACATCTTGACTACCCGTTCCTCCTGAATTGTCCTCTGGTTCGTCGGGGACGTCTATCCCGTACTCGTCGAAGTCGTCATTTTGCACATCTGTTTCTTCCAAATGTGCTGCTCTACTCGAGTCTTCCACCAATTCTCCATATGTGTCTTCTAGGTTTTCTGGTTTTGATTTTACTGTAACAAAAGAGATGGTTAGTTTTTTAAAAATCGAGTGTTTTGAGTTTTTTCGATAATGTGATGCAAATATTTAAGAATTTATTCTAGTAGTTTGTAACCTTTGACGTGCTTATGCAGAGTATTCCCAGAAGACTGAGAATACAAACAAGGAGTGATTCTTCTTACTAACGAGTTACAAAATACCACTTCATATCGTAGGTACAGGTCCCTAAGGAAGAAAATTGTTATTGTTTAGCTGAACAAATTAGTTTTGTGTGATATCTATAAAATGTGCCGTTTTCGAAAAATCAACATTATTGTTGTTGTTGTAAGATAGACCAAAACTTAGATAAGCGATTTGAACATTTATGTCGTGAGTATTTCTGATGGCGGATTACGAATCTGTTATTAAAATTACTATATCTTCAATATGCCGGAATTAATATTTAGGAATTACGAAAATTTTACTTCATCACAAATCGACCACTGCAACGAAGCAAAAGTCCTTGCTTTAGTCTTACTATATGGTATCGATAGACTTTATCGGGTTCTCCTTGATCGAATAATATGGTATCTCAGTCATGCAACTATAGGCAACCAGTAAATCTTCTACGTCATATAGTAAGTATAATAGTGGCGGGTGCACCAGCGAAAACTACATCAAATTGAGTTACTTTAGTCTTCGATGCAAAAAATCACGGAAAGCCTAACTTACTGTTAGACCTACTGTCTGACTTACTATGATTGTCGCGGAATAGTTTGACGTAGCGGTCATTAATAGCGAAAATGTTTCAACTATTAGCTGTATGAAAACAGCAGCTGTCCAGGCGAAGTAAAATGAATTCAAAAACCAAAATAATTCTGGCAGATGCAAAGAAGCTAGGTGCAGTTGCTGAACCGTTAAATTCAGGCAAGTTTGTTTCATAAATAGTGATGAATTCCTTTAATACAACAAACAGGTTCAAACATAGCTTCCCCTGCTGCACGTTATGCATTGGGATCTGTCGCATCACATTCTGTTTCTCTCATGCCTGCGAAATAAAAGTTTAACAGAGAATTCGACTACTACAGTTTTCCTAAGACGACAATCACGTGTTTGCTTTTCATTATTTCATCTCCAAGCCTGGACCTGATACAGACCTATATTACAGACGTATGTCGTACTGATGAGGGCTAAAAAGCCCTGTCTGCGGTTGGTCGTGGACCCGTTAGTTTCAAATAAAAAGAAAAATCGGAATATTGGAACAAAGACGATTGTGGATAAAAGTTGAAAATAAATATGTGTCTCGCGAAATGAAATATGAGTGTGACTATGCTGATGATTTTACGACAGTAACATTGATTATCACAGAATGAGACCGCAAAACAATACGCTTCTGGAACTACCTTTTGCTGTACACAAGCTTGCACTCAGCAGATGCTAGAAAGATAAATGGTTTATTAGACCAATGTAAATCAAAAGCAAACAGTCTTCCTAGCATTCCTGAGGCTTACCTGCTTTTGATTCTACTCTAAAAGGCAAGGAAGATAAAAAACACAAAGAAAACATAATACTAACAGTGCTGAAAATACAGAAGTTAGAACGATTATACTGGAGAACACGAAGATGAATATAATTTGAGTGACTCAGATTGGAATCAAACAGGATTTTTTCGACCATTTGTTTGAAAAATACTATTTCAATAAATATCCTACCAAGTCTAGACCAAGTTTACTTTTTTTCCTTAATTGATCCAACCAAAACTATAATAAGTCAACAAATTTATTAAAAAAAATGTCGTTTTCGCTAGGTATGTATTGTAATACCATTTATAACCTTCTATATACAAGGATTACTGCAATGTGCAACATATTTTTGATGAGATCGTCATTTTTCTGACAACGAAATTTATCAGAAAATCTTCTAATGCCTGTGTCTCAGTTCAACCAAAGCTCAGTTACAATAGTTTTCCTTGCAGTGGTCGAAATATAAAATAAAGATACCATACAGTTTCGAATTGTTACGTAGAATAAGTGTGGTAAGTCATAAAATATAATTCTTAAGTTTTTAAATTTATACGATACGATAATTTAGCAAATTTTAGCGCTAATCGCTAACCTACGATAACGTTATACTGTAATTACCATTCGAAAAATACAATGTTCATTAAGAGTCGTATAACAAATAGTTCCTTATGTATGTTATATGCAAATTTTAATGTTTAAAATACAGGCGCCTATGTCCAAAAACAGCTGCCATCTTTATAACGATGGCATTTCCATAATATTGGCGCCAATATACCGTTTTGTTGAATAATAAAAACCTGATGAGGTTAAGGAAGATTCGAATTAGCAAACCATATATGGGTAGTATGAGCAGTCATAGGTGGGCTGAGAGATTTTTTGGACCTTTCCATCCAATCAGAAATACGTGGACTTCATTTATCCTTTTCGACAAAGGACATAACAGCAATCTCTGTTTATTCGAAATACTTAAAAGTTTTAATAAAACGAAGCCCGAAGACGGTGATAAATCCTGAGCTTTATGTCAGTATAATATAACCCTGTTTATGCATAGTATCTTGTGTGCATCATCGAGAAAGCAAGAAAAATAAATAAAGGCAAGCATATGGGAAGCTAATTTACAAAAACAACAAACAAGTATAAATCTGGTTTATTTATAGTAGCTAGAAAGTTCTGTAAGGACCATATTTTTGTAGATCACGGATATTCCATACAAATTTTGCCGAAAAATTCTATGACAAATTGCCTATAATCTACAGCTATCGATAATGAGTTGTTGCTATGTTATCTTTAGGTTACGAGTATGTTTTATAATACAATTATTCCATGTTTTAATAGTTATTTTATACAATTTTAGGCAATAAACTTGTGAACCTTTCGTAAATTAGGAAGTAGAGCTGCAGAACCTTGGTAGGAAGACTACTCTGGTCCCTTCTTTGCCGAAGATAATAAATATAATGGATGAAAATAGAAACGAAAATTTAGTTTTACGTTATGAGGTTATCAATTATACTTTACCAAATTGTCTATAACTAAATTATATGTATCTTTCTTCTTGAGTTTCTATATACATATTTAATTCAGTATCACTGAACCATTCATTAGATAAGTGCTGTTTTCAATGATAACACAATTACTAGCACTATTGACCTTTTGTTCTATTTATATAGAATGATTCAAACCTACGTAATAACCAATCAAAAACAACCTGGTGATTTTCAATAATCCGTGGACAATGCTCAAAAGGATAAATAATTGTATACAAAATGAACAATCCTAAAGAGGAGTTAATTTTCGTTGACAGAATGTCTTTTCACGAATCACGGCAGACGCAACAATCATTTAGTTATCGTACATTGGCTGATTTTTTCTGCTTGTGCTTGTACCATTACAGAGAAGCAAAGAAAAGATAACCATAACAGTTCAAAGCACAATTGAAAGTAATATCCCGTAGTTCCTTCCGCGATGAATACCAAAAAGCATAACGGTGAATTCCAGTAAAGAATGCCATCTTCAGAATGATTGTGAATAATAGCTCACTCATTCATCCGACTTGCTTTTTAAATCCTTCGACCTTTACCTGTATCTTTCTTAGAAGTGCACCAGGTGAAAAGAATAACGTAAATAGTCTCCGGCGTGCTGCATGCTGCATTGCAGACAATTCTCTGAGTTTCTTAGGAAATACAAATCTAAAGGACCAGTCGGCATCTTTTCCAGATCATATTCTCGTATATAATAGTATTCTACCTGAAGATAGCCAATCTCATGCTAACTCCCGCATTCAAAAAATTCTCCGAGATAAAATGAGATAACGTAACATCTTGTATGAGAATTGGTCAGGGCTGTTCCTCTATTTACTATATTCTTAGGAGAGTTTAGTGTCTCAGAGATGGCGCTGTAGTCAACGCATCGGTACTATTTTCAGGTATAATATGCTATCAACAGTGTACCCTAGGCTACCGAGAAGAAAAATAGGTATTTCGTGTAAAAAAAAGCTTAGCAGATATCTGCAAGCTTTAAATAAAAGGGGGGTCGTTCCAATGACTAATATATAAAAAGATATGCGTTGTTTTTTATAAACAATGTGTAAGCTCAAAATTCAGTATTTTTCTTGTATAATTTTCAACTTAAATTTCACGAATAATCGGTAAACTGGAGATTTTAGAGCATAAAAACACCTTCAACTTTATTTTTTAAGAATTAAAATCGATAAATAGTTGAGCTAAATGCGGAGCTTTTTAGAAATATTGAATAAATGATTATAGCTAATAACAATTGATGGCTAACAATTTGTGAGGAAGAGGGCATCATTGGTGTTAATATGTGTGATACATTTCAGGTCGGATAGGTTTAATAGTTTATGTAAAAAGCTAATTGTTTATCCCAGAGACGAATTATTTAAACAACTGTTCTTGCCTAAGACATGGTCCTAGAACATTTTACAAAAGTGAAATGGATCCTTAAAGGTTTCAACTTCAAGAATTTATGCAAAAAATAATTATTTATTTCAAAATTATTGTTAAAAATGATGTTAAAATAGCCATTTTTATCGTTATAAACATTTACAATAACCTCGTTATTTTATTTTTATTTTAACTTTCAGATATCTGCTAAACCTTTTATTCCACCTTTTTTTATCTAGCGTGGGCTAATGGTCGGTGTCTTGTTGGTGACTGTGTCTGGGATACGGCCGTGTGAATTCCGTCTATATAGCATAGCAGAATGAACGGAATATGTATGGCGGGATTTTGGACACGATCACTGACAGGTTGTACGAACAGGCCTCATGTGTTCCATGGAACTTAAGTGTCCCAAAGTCCAGGATTCGAGGTTCCACGAAATATCATACAGGTCTTTGCTCATTGTATCGTACCTTACTGGAGCGATACAATTGCTATCCATATACTGGATAAAAGGAACGAACATTTTCTCTTCAAAAATGATTATCTAATCATTCTAATTAATTATGTCTGAATCAGCAGATTCTCGATTATCAAACTAAAGCAGACCTAAGC